GATACTGAAATGAGAGTTGGTGCTCTCTGCAATATTTCAGGCATTGTGGAGATAGCTGTACTAGGCATAAGGATAGGGTTTTGGAGGATCCATTAGCTTAGGGGATTTGGTTGAGATGATGGCTGATCATTCCTTTTTTAATTGTTTACACCTAATGTGACTCTGGTTTTGTTCGAGCCGTTGTCTTTGGCTCTGCAAGATTTTTTGGAGTGTCCAGGTAACATGCAAGAGAACTATGACCAACCTTTAAAATGCAGATTGAACTCCAGTCTACTTCGTAAATGAAGGCCAGCCATACTGCCTTATTTAACTCTTAAGTTTTGAGTTGCTTTACCTTATACAGCTGGACTGACTGGGTGTTGTTTTTTTTCTTTACGTTCCATGAATCATTTCACCTTCTGTTTGTTTTCCAAGTACTGTTTTTTCCAAAAGGATGACATTTTAGGCTATAGCTTTTTTTTTTTTTTTTTTACTGTAATGCCTTGCCATTTTTTGGACTTCACACTTTCGCCAGCCCAAAGAATCGACAAATATTTGTGGACTCTGAGTAGCAGGAATATTTTTTCAGTTGTGGAGCGGCTATGAAGGTGGCAGACTAATTCACTGAGTATATGCCTGTGTGGGAGGGAAGGAAGAGGATGTCAGTGTGTGGGGGAGCTGACATCATTCCTACATTACAAGGGCATTTTCCTAATCTGTATAAATCATCACTGATGCTGAGATTTACCCTTGTGATCTCTACTTGATATTCAAGATTCTGGGATGAGCATCTAAGAGACGTTTTTACTTCCACATTGATCAAAGAGCGTTTCTGATGTTGAAGTGGGGCTCCCAGGAATTTTCAGTCATTTTGAGGATTTTCAGGAATAATTTGAAATAATTTGAGCAAAGATGAGAATCAGCCTGGCTAGATGTAGTATCGTAGAGTCTATCTCTAATTTCAAATTCATTCTGTTCATAAATAATTTATCCTTTGATGAAAAATAAGATGTTATTAGTTATATAAAGGAAGGCAGAAGTACAGTAACAAAATAGCAAAGTGTGGTTTTGGTTTTTTTCTAGTTCATACAATGAAGCACAAATTCATTTCTGCATAGATTAAAGAGGGACCTAGTTCTATCAGTGGATTTATTTCTACTGGAGAGGTTGTACCAGCTCTCACTGAGTAAGTATCAATCTTTTGTGACTTTTCCAGGAAATAGACTGAGCAGCAATATCTTTTCTTTCTGAATTCCAGAAGCTATTTTCCAATGTAAAAGTGACCTGATATTAGTACATAAAAATATAATTTTCATGTCATATTCCTAGCAGAAGAATTGATCCTTGTAACTTTCAGAAAAAAACAAGTATCTTACTTAAAACTGCAATTTTAGTCCAAGCAAGTGAATGCTCCAACAAACACTTTCATTGTTCTAATTATATCTTCTCTGCATGAGGCTTATCTATAATTATGAAAAATTGGGGAACATCTCAGCTGTGGAAATATAATAACAACTTATGTTAGTATTTTTAGAGCTGTTATGCAAATGTAGGTATGGACAATACTTGACTTTCAAATCTCACATTAATCAGGTCTTCGTATGCTGGGAAACTCCTGGTTGACAGAGCCAGCCAAAGACTTTTTAATGGGCTTGGACAAACTGAATTTTGCTACCCAGAGAATGCTTGAGGCCAAATTCTTTTTTTTTTTTTTTTATAGAGTCAGAAGAAGGGAAGGAAGGCTGGGAGTAGGGAAGCGGGTTCTTGGGTGAAATAAAAAAGGTAACTGAGAGGGTAGGTGCATTTTGGGGGGGGCAGCTTTAAGAAGAGAAGGGGACAAAGAACTAATAACTTCATCTTCACCCAAAATTAACATTATTATCTTTTTCTTTTTTCTTCTTTTTCTTTCCTCTCAGTCAGCCTCTCCTGTGCCTTAAGATTCCCCTGCTGCTGCCTACCAAAATGCACAAACCTACCTTGCCTATACCACTGCCTACTGCTACCCGCATCCCAAGAAGCGGTGACCTTGGTGTTGGGGGGAGGCAGCGGGGAAGGCCAGGTCTGGGAACAGGATTGAAAAAGAAGTTGAAGAGCAGTATAGTTAGTTCTTGCGATCATGTGGTACATATCATCTCACTGGTTCTCTCCTGTTACTGATGTTTTGCTGTTAACTCAACTTTGATTTTTCCTGTTCTCTGCAATTTTTTTTAAGACAACTGAAATTCTTGGTCAGCACCAATCTGGTTGTAATGTGATGGTCTGTAATATATAGGAGGTCAGATTATGTGGTTTAAGTTCTCAGTGACCCTGTGAGAACAAATACCTCCAGGGATCAAGTATCAAAATGAATGAATCTTGGCTTCAAGTCCTGGATCTGTGAGGACACTTTTCCTTGAACCTAGCCACTTTACCAAAAACTGCAATATTACAGAGATGGGCACAGGATGATGTGAATATGAATCTTCTCCTCTTCTTGAGATTCATAAGGAAGAAGTTTATCACCTTTCAGGGTGTTTGTCTAGGCCAAAAGAAAATGACTGAAGGACAAGAGGCATTCTAACTTTGGAGGAAAGGGGACAGTCAGCTCTAGCTTTGACTTATGCTTCAGATCTCGACTGCTGACAAGTTTCAGATAAAGCTGGCCACGCACATTCCTGATTTCACTGAAACCAGCTCTAATTCAGACAGAAAACTCAGAACAGACATCTATATCTGTACAATCTTTCTAACGCTGACACTTTCTGTCCCTTACTTAACATCGTGTCTTTGGTTTACATGAGCCTCTTCTACCAACAGAGACAGAATTAGCATAAAAGTGTGTTCAGGGAGGTGCAGTGACAGCAAAGCAGGAAGAAACCCTACAAAAGCTGAAGCAAGTGTATTTTGAGAACATATCTTCAGAGCTGTGTTCAGCCAAATGATGAATGCCCAGTTATGTGTATATGTCAGCTGGGCTACTTGATGCACACTATATGCAAAGTACTTCATTTCTCTCTTGTTAAAGATCTGAATTGCTCTGTCAAAGTCATTCTCTGACTGTTTAGAATGACAGTAATAAGCTGAAAATGAACTGGCTCCTTTCAATCTATTTGAGATTGAATATGTGCAGAATGCAGACTTTATCATGTGCTGGCCTGTTCACTCCTTCAGCTGACATCTGTACAATTTATGCCTGAGCATGTCCTCTCGAAGAATGTGCGCCTTTAACTGTGGATCTTTCTGACTTGCTTTCAAGAATTAGTTGGAAATTGTTGCATTTATTATATCAAAACTTGTGCCATCAGTAATACATGAACATTTTCGTTCATGGAAGACAGTGTTCTTGAATGAAATGGATATTTGTGAGGAGCTTTAATTTCAAGGAATCCACCAACGGTGAGGGGGTGTGTGTGTAGGCTAGAAATGTTTCAGTTGCCTACAAGGAGAAGCAAGGGTGTTCTCGGCAAGACAGCTAAGTGCTCAGGCTGTCAAAGTTCTTCTCAGGGTGTTGTAAGGGAGTTAAGTTGTCTGCCCTTGTAGAAGGGCCACAGCTAGTTCTAGCAAACAATGTTAAGCGTTTCGTGGGACTTCTGAAATTTAGTTAATCATTGAATATGCCACATGAGCTGCCTTCAAATGGTCTTGGGAGGGCCACTTTCAAAGAGCCCTCTGGACAATGCTCCGTTCCATTTGGAATCAAGTGTTAAAATTCTTATTGAACTTAATGGGAGATTGTCTTTTAGCTACGTTTCTCATAGAACATACAGCAATTCTTTTGCAGAAAATACTTGTGCAAGTCGAGCGTTGAACATCTTTTTAGCACTAGTGAGACCTTCTGTCAGACCAGAGCTTGTGAACTGCATTGTGGATCATTCAAATTAATCTTTAATCTTTAAATCTTTAATCTTCAAGTTAATCTTTATGATCCTTCTTCTGGCACCTCCTTTGGCCTCCTCATTCCATGCTGGAAACCAACTGGGAGCAACGTGTGAGGGGACAGGCAGTGGTTTCAAGGTATTTTAAGCTCCTCCCAATACAGAGGGGCAAGTGAACAATGGAAACTATGGCAATTAATATCCAACACTATCTTCTGACTATTTAAGTGCTCTTCTCTTTTCCCATGTCGGAGCAAGCACGTTAGTTTAAGCCAACCATGCTTTAAGCTCCCCAGTGTCGCTTCCCCCTAAGATGATGGAGAAGTGTTTCTGCACTAGGAGCCAGTCTTGCTATGGCCCCTTAGTGGATGTGGTATCTGTTGCCTTTCAGCTGGGATTCAGAGGCTGCCTTACATCATTTCAACATAACAGTATTAGACCAAATGAAACTGAGGACCTAGGCCCTGGCCTTAGGCTTGGGCCAAACGTGCAATGGAAGCTGAGTGGGTTGGAGCATGAGAGTTACTTCTATGACTGGTGGGGAAAACATGCAGAGCACTGACATAGTAATCTTTCTCTTTTTCATGAACATATTAAAGTAACCTATGTAAGCTAGGTTTAGAGATACGTTAGGCTAGAGATAAAAGGCAGGGCAGTTGATTTATGTTATGACTGCATTTGTCCCTGTGTCATGCAGATTGGTTCCTGTCTTTATTTTTTTGGATTTTTATTCTTGGCTTTGAGAGAAATATAGCAGATGTTCTAAGCACCCTACTTCCATAAAATGATCTTTTGTACTTTGGGAGCTATTCAAAAGGCTATTCAAGTTGAGTGTTTTTATGAAATGAAGCGAGAACAATGTTTTGTTAATACGCTCATTTGAAAGGAAAAGGTGTAGTAAGGGCAGCAAAATTTTTTTTCCTCACTTCTGGAGGAAAAATTTAATTCCCAATAACTGTACAGAGAATAGTTTGTACAGAGAATAGCTTATCAGACAATCATCCTGGACAGTAAACTGTTCCTTAGTTATACCATAGTGGATGTCTTAGTGATGAACGTGTCCTTTCTATAAGTACCTACTTTTATTAGCACTAACTTCCTGAAGACCTTTTTTTCCTATGCTTAATCTTAGTTAAAATATTACTGATGTGTTTTTGCTTCCCGTAGAATCTCCTCTGCCCTTGAAGAAAGTTGCCTGATGGACATAAGAACTCTGCAGATGGCATCAGCAGCCTTCAGAATGAGAAGGATAAGTCTTGAGGCAAACTAAAAAACATAAGTACTAATATCACATATTTAAGAATAAAATTGTTAGCGTGTCCCATTTCGTCCAATTTAGTGACATCAAAAGCTTTTGTTCTACACAGGATTTCATTTAAGAGTCTTACTGTTGCAGATGACACAGCTGATGTCTTTATATGTTTTCCAAGTGGCATTCTAAATATGATTACAGAAGCATACTTTGTCAGAGTTTTATTTCCCTATTCTGTTTCTTAAGGAAATTCCAGGGCCACTGACATGTAAAATCTTATGTACAAGACCTATAGTTTCAGCTTCTGTCACGCAGTTTTAAGTGTATTTATTAGCATTCTTACTCCTATTTGTTGTCCTCTTGACAAAGCATAGAAGCAACATGCCGCTCTCTGACGGGTAATGGCAGCCTATTATGTTGTTTGATTAACAAAGCTGCCTACAATGTTATTGAATTATATTTGGTGATGCATAGCCTTGTATTAATTTTCTTGTAGTCCTTGCAGGCCCATTTTGGAAGTTCGTTTTCTGTGGATTGAGGGTAGATTCCTTGGTAATAATGTCATGGCAAGAACTATGAGTGTATTCAAGACTAATAGCATTATTTTTAAGTAGGGGGTGATTTATACTATTAATAGCTTCAGGAACAATACTATATGATCAGTCCATTACGTAAATATAGGAAAAACTAGGCTTTACTGAATTTGCCCAGAAAGGCAATGTTTACTAACAGATTGGATGTCTTTATTTAATTATAAAGTGCTTTAATTATAAATGAACTTAATATTTTTGAGTAAGTGCTGCCTGAAGTAATGACCTGTGTTGTGACTAAACTTTTAACTTATTAAATTACCATATAAGTTCGTACTTCTATGATGAAGTTTTTTTTGCCTGAGAACAGCAAGTGCATGGGGAAGTTGTAACTAACTCTACATATGAGCTTCAACTGCGTATTTCAAAGCTGCTTTTTCAGAAATGCTTTTTCATTACACAGTTCAATAACCCATGATCTCCAATTCATTAGGACAATTATTTCTTTCCCAACTTTCTCTTACTTATTTAGCTGTTTGCCTTTCCACTGTATACAGTAGAGATGACCAGTTTCATTTTTAAAGAGCTCTTTTGAGCAATTACACTCTCTCTCAAAGTAAGTTACAAGGTAAACTCAGACGTGAGGAGGAGGAGGAGCCAGGGAGGTATTTTAAGAGAGTGACTGGTTTGCATTGGCATCAGTTTGCAGTGAATCTGAGTTTTCTTGAATGGTCAAGAGTCACAGAATGGCACAGAGTGGATTTTTTACTTCTGCAGCTGCTCCTCTTGCCTTGCTTCCTTCTTGTCCTCCTTCCTTAGACCTGAAGCTGCATAAGGGGCCAGCAGAGAGACCCTTTGAAAAATCTCCACCAAGAGTGATTTGAGCGCTGGGCAGAGAGTTCCTTGATTTTGGTGTAGGAAAGGGAAAAATTTAATCCAGCAATTGGAATTTTTGTGTTATGGGTATATAAAAGATGAAAAGAGATGTTAAAGGCTGAAGCCCAGAGTACTGTCCTATTTGATTCCAGAGGAGCAGTGTGTAGGGAGTTAACAAGAAGTGGCTTTTGGATCCAATTCAGAATTGTCTGATATTCCCTGTATTGTACTGAAAAGTCTATGGTGCCATTATTGAGCACTTTAAATGCAAGAATAAGGCTTTTTCTATAGTGATGCTCAATAATATGACCAGAGAAGTAGTGAGTGTGCTCTCCTGTCGTGCCAGGCGGTTCCCCTCTGACAACAGCGGGTATCTCCTGGTGCTCCACATCAGCAGGGGCAACCAAATAGTTAGGGATCTTTTTTGTGAAAAGCATCTGCAAAATATGTGGGATATAATCACAGAGAATACTTGCAGAGTGATCAGCCTAGTATAAACAGCGTTTGGGGACAGCTGAGTTAAAGTCAGTGCTGAGTTAAATTTCACTTGAACAGTGAACACTTTGAAGTTGGAGAAATTTGTCTACAACACTGACTTCATTTGCGGTCTCAGAGATGGAGCATGCTCCCTGCTGTTTCTTTTACCACTAACTAAATGTTACCAAGTCTGAGCTGGTCCAGAGTAATTTGGCAAGTAAGTCTTCAGTATCAGAAGATGAAAGTAATTTGGTTTCAATTTTCACTGTACAAAAAACAATACCCCTTGTTTTTAAGATTAACAAATTCTGATAATGAAGAAAGTAATGAAGAAGTTTCCCTGGCATATATTTACCTCTGATAGATTCTCCATGTTGCTCACACATTGTAATATACATACTTATTTCTTTCACCAAACATAATTAAGCCAATACTTTTGGGGAAAGTTAGTCTTCCACTAAGAAGACTTTTTTTCCTACTTACGAGAAGAAGCGAGGCTTGAAAGGTTATGCTTTCCAGAACCAAACAAGGTAAAAAATCCTTAATCTTTCCACATGTTTCCTCTGGGGACGTGCCCTTCTGTTTGAAATCTCAAAATATATGATGAGTCATTAAGTTGTCTCTTTCAATGTTCATGCCTGTGAACTATTTAAGGTTTCTGTTTTGGTGAGAGCTAAGGGACACTGGAATGTACGAAGGAGAGTTATCTTTTGGAGATGTCATAAATGTTTATTCTAATAAGGTTATTAATGAAACGTTTCGTTACTTGAAGGGTTAGCAATCTAGCATTTCCTCATTCGCGGTATTCAGTGTCCCTGCTTTTCGCACCTACTCTCAGGAGCCCAAACCGCTTCTCAGGTGTCATCTTTTAGCATTAAATCCCTAGGTCTCTCTTTATTCCCCTCCTCCCAACTCCTAGAGCTAAAATGCATGTAATCCTTAAAGTTTTACCCAAGACGCTAACACTATATGGCTTTTTCCTTAATTTACTTTAAATTCTCTTCTACCCTCCCTTCAGAGTGATTTGAGTTGGTCAAACAGCATTTTTCCGTTGCTTAGGTGGTCCCTGTAGGCATCACCCTTCAACTTGCCAGTCAAAGATTTACTGCCCTTTCTGTGTCTGCATTCCACCTGAGCTGGCCAGGGCCAGAGCAGCCAGACATTCTGGGTGATCTTGAGACTGTTGCTTAATATCAACGTTGTTCCTTTAGGCAGTTTATGCTAAACTCGTGTTCACGTTGCAAATCATGCATCTCTATGGCAGGCAGCATTGGGGTATTTTCAGAAGTGACCCTGGACCCTCCTCTTTGCCTGGTGTCAATCACCTAACATCACTTGTAAAGGTAGATAGGATAAATGGGGGCTGAACAACAGCACCTGATGTAATTATACCCATTCTTTTCAGGCAAATTAAATTGCTATAGAGTCAGCCCCCAACATAAGTGTGACTGTAACCTTGAGCTAGGCTGTGGTAGATCTTATGACTCTGTACAGCAGTGTCTGCAGCATTCACAGAAAAGGTGTGACCAGGGTCTGGCTTTTCTTGGACTTCATCATGAGATACCTCTGAGGGTGGAGAATTCACCTACAGTTTTGAAATAAAGCTTCAATATCAGAGAAAAATGCCAGTATTGCTATTTCAGGAAGGGAATCTTACTTTGGTAGCTGATGGAGATGAAAACACCAGCACTGGAAGACTACCGTTCTCCCATTCAGCTTCAAGAAAAAGGGAATCCCTTTTAAATTGAAAGCAGTCCTCCCATATTCTTCCCTGTGCCCTATGATGTGGAAGGAGCCATAAGGCTCAGAGCCTCAGTAGTCTGGCTCTCTGCAAGTATAAATTCAAGAGTAGCATGACTGCAGCATTGGTGAAGATGATGTTACAGATGTGGAAAGAAGGGATGTTTTGCCGGCCAGTAAGTGCTGGCAAGAGGTAGAGAACGCAGTTCAGCAGTTACAGTCTATATTTGTCTAACTGGGCCCCTGGGTACAGCAAGAGTACATAGCGGACGTAGTTTGTTGGAAGCAGCATCAGCCTGTTCATTTTACTCTTTGGAGTAAGTTGGGTCTTGGTAAGTTTGGTTGGATGCTTCATTGCATTGCATACATATACTTTTGGCTTCAATAATGGCAGGGATATTCAGTGCTGAGAACAATAGAATATAAAGGGAGAAAAAATAGCTTGGCTGCAAAAGGGAATTGGTTTAGCTGAATCATGCTGTAATTCTTCTTTTTTTTCCCCCCAGGAAACACATCAATCAGACTTTTTTTTTTTTATTTTGTGGCAGGCCATTTGTTTTATTTTCAGAGTATCTGTTTTTAAATATATAAAATTAATGTGGGATGACTGCTTTCAATTTACAAAGGATTCCCATTTCTTGAAGATGAATGGAGAGCGGCAACGTTGATAGTGAGATTAGTTGTGTACCCACGCTTGCCTCCAGCAGTGGATGAATGTTATTAGAAGACCTGCCTGTATTAGACTTGTCTCTACTAGCTGACGTCAGGTGACTGAAACTGTAGTAGGCTTGTGGACTTCAACTAGGTGGAATACAATTGTTTTACACGCCTACGTATACTTCTGTCAGCATTCAGAAGCATTCATACTTTCCATTCCAACAGTAAGGTGCTCCAGATTTTATCCTTGCCCCCTGGGTGAACTTTACATAACTCCGTGCAGCAGAGAGATTTGGCAGACAAATTCTCCTTGTTCTTTATTTAAAACTGAGAAACTTTTTGAATAGCTTGCTGGTGCCAAAACCTGCCTTCCTTATTCTGTATTAGTTCTAAAGTGGTTTTAGAGCAGGGGGTTGGAGTACACAGGTTGGAGGGGACTTCTTGAGGTTAAGTGATTCTGCAGTTCTAATGCAGCCATACTGTTATCTTTTAACTGATTAACTCCTTTCAATGATTTCATGATATCTGATGGATGGAAATGGAAATATTTCATTGTCATAATAGTAGGAAGCTATAGGAGGGTTGTCTGCATGAAAAGGACTGGCTTTAGCATACTTAACTGTAAGGACTGAAGCACCTCTATAAGTAGCTGAGGCAGATCTTTCTCAGCCCATTAAAATCACTTACTGGTTTCAGAACAGAGTAAAGATGTAATTAACCAATAATTTTCTCACTTAAGCAAAGCACATTTGCTCCCTTTTCTTTCTGACTATCCACAAATCCTTAGGCTATTTGAATTCAAACCAGATTTGGAAATATGATTTTTTTTTTTTTAATTTCCAGGGATAAGTAAACAAAACATAAGAGTTTTTCCTTTCTTCCAATCATTAAACTCAGTTCTAGGCTACAGTTTAGAAACACTTTTCAGCATTGTCCTAATAATTTTTTGTATCGTTTTGATGTGGCTTTCTACTATTTTCTTCTGAGTGTTTGCCATTTACTTCTTACTTGTGAAATCTACCAGCTTCCTATAGCTGCTGCATTGCTGCAAATAGCCGATCATAATATGTTTAATACTATAATTTTTCTTTCTGATGTCTCCTTCTATACTGCTGACTTCAGAGGCTTGATCCACAAAATTCTTCAACCTGAGATAAATACTGGTCTTTTTACCCTTGTATCCAATGCTCAGATTCTCTTTTTTATTTTCTCTAACCCAGTGAGAAGGAAAGTAGAAAAGAAGAGCTGGAGACTCATCAGCTTAGCTTTGAGTCATAGAAATAGTTTCACAGTTGTTTTTAAACAAATTAGTCTCTTTTCTTTCCCTTCTAAGACTTTGTGTAACTGGCCCTGGGAACATGGAGGAAGGAGGGGTTGTCAGATGTTTGGATTTTAGTGAGGCTTTTGATGCTGCTCACATAAGCAAATTAGGGAAACATGATGCAAATTAAACTACCGTAGGTTAGATAAAGTCGAAGATTCTGGTGCTTCAAGAGAATGTCTTGTGTCCAATAATATTTTTAGTAAGTTTAAGGACAGTGGAACTCAAAATGATCTTGACAGATGGAAGAAATGGTCAAAATTGTCTGACAAAGGTAAAAGTGGGATGTGATTTAAATCAAATTCTATACAAGGAACAGTGAGTCACAGGTTCCGATGGAGAGCAAATGGTTAAATGACAGAAAATGGACTGAGTGGGTAAAAGCATGAAAATGAGTCAACAGCGCTGCTACTGTGAAATGACAAATCGTGAGTTATGTAAATGAGGAGCTTAGCTTGCAACTAGACGTTGACAAAACTTGGCTGCAACACTATATCTAGTTTTGGGCAGCGTACTTTTAAGAAGGGTATGGACTAATTGGAGATAAAACAGAGGAGAGCAGCAACAGTGATCAAGGTTCTAGAATAGCAGACCTATGAGAAAAGATGGGGAAAAAATGGAAGACTAGGGGAAGACATACTGCTCTTCAAATATATAAAAGGCTGCTCCAAAAATGAGGGAAATAACTTTTTTTTCACCATGTCTCCTGTAGATGGGATGAGAAATGAGTTTCAACTTCAATACGGAAGACTTTGTTAGACATTAGGAAAACACTTTACGAGCATAAATGTTAGAAGAGAGTTCTCGGGAGGGTTTGCAGTCATCACCGTCTGTGAGACAGAGACGTCCATTAGGATTCATAGACGTTAGCGATTCTGCCTAAAAACAGGCAGCGTTAATAGATATCCACTCAGGCTCTCTTCTAGCTCGATTCTGTATAATCCTGGGAAAGACCAGATGATCATGGCTGTTTGGGGTGCAAAGGCCCAGATCTATTGCACGTTGTGTGAAGTATCTTTCTGCTCTGTCAACAGTCAGCTCACTGTTAACCTTCTGCATCAACTCACATTTCCTACTGAGTCCTCATGTTGATGTCCCCCTCTCACTTCTTTACCATCTGGGCACTTTCAGTTTTATTCCTTGTG